CGCAAACAAAGATGAAAATCTGAGATTCAGTTCTAGTGTCCCAGACTGCTCCCCTCATAGAGGTTTCTACACAGTGGATGGAGGTGGGGCAGGATGACAAAGAGGGAGGCGAGGAAATTTTATCCTCACAGGAAAGGGCCTCTATGGACTTACATTATTTCTCCAACTTTCTCTACCCAAATGAATCTTTCATCTTTGTTTTATTAGAGTCAGAAATTTAATAAAAACTCACTGGGATATGACAAGATGATTAAATATTTATTGAAAATTTAAATGTGATACTTAAAGGTACTTATACTCCTTGAGGCGCCTTAAAGGCAATAAACTTTATTTCAGAGCTTTATCTGAGTTTGGCACCCCACCTGAGTGAAAATTAAATAAAAGTGAAATAGAAAAATGCCTCTTAGGAAAGAATGGCCTAGTTTCAGCATTTCTCCGATATTAATTTAGAGGACTCATTTTAACATTGCCCACAGGATAGCCTAAATTTCTCAGCTCTACAAGCCGACCTCAATCCTTTCAGTGTCATCTTCTACCTCATCTCTAAAGTGTCTCTACTTCCATTATTTCTGTTCAGAGGTCAGCAAATCTGTAAGACATTCATTCCCCAAGTCTTTGCTTCTGCTCTTTACTTGTTTTTATTTCTATTGAAATTTTGCACACTCTTCAAAAATAGGCTCTCCTGGGTGGTTTTTGTGATTTCCCCAGATCTAGAATTATAGATGCTTCTTTGCTCTCTCAATTCTTTGTTCTTCATTTCATGCCCTTAGTTAATTCTGTTTTCTGTTTTAGCTATTTATCTGCGCCCTTTTTATTGTCATAAACAATTAGCTTTTGGGGGGGAGAGTAAAATATTTCTTAGTCATATTTGTGTGCCATTGAGCAACATATATATGCAGAACTCAACAGTATCTGTGGAATTAATGAAACACAGAGACCAGGAAAAATAAAAGCTCTCAGAACTAGAGCATGCTCTTCTTCATTTCCTTTGCATGCCATCCCTTTACCTCAGGGCCATTTGAATTGCCACCGTTATGGCTTTGTATTTCTTCTAGGATAGTTGGATATGGACACTTCTTGCTAAAAACCCTTCAATACATACACCTAATTGACCTTAGAGCAATAATTTGACCTTGGTGAGAGGAAACCCAGACTTTATTCAATGTCCTTTAAGACTGACTCATGCCCAGTCCCACGTCACTCCCTCCCTCACACTTTGTTACAGCCACAGCGAATTTCTTTGTGTCCCAGAAATGGTCTTTCTACATGGAATGCGTGTTGTTCCATTCCGCCCCTGTCCATCTTCTACTGTCTAACTCCTCATCTACCAGATTCAAGATGTTACTTTTTTCTAGAAATCATCCTTAATTCCCTGTACCATCTCCAGCCTTGGATGGGATTAAGCCTTTCTCCTTTATGATCTAATCCTATATAATACTAGAGAAACATGGTAATTAACCGTACCTCCGCTACCCTTCCCATTGGCGAATCAGCGAGATATGCAAATGAACTGCCAACCAAGATGGCGGCCGGCAGCCAGGCAGCTTGAAGCAAACAGGAGGCTTGCTTGCTTCAGTGACGGAGGAAGCCAACGTTCACCGCCTGCC